CCATGGGCAGATAGCAAAAGAGAGGGTGAGAGGAGGAAGGCAGGAATACAGACAGCCGAGAGGGGGGAGGGTGGGGGAAGAGAGAGAGAGGGAGGGCAGGAGAGAGGGAGGGACAGAAACTTTATGTACATAAACCTTTTTTTAAAAAGAGTATTGTTGCACCAGGTAGCTAGCTTTACTGACACAGAAATGAGAGGTCTGTTTGGTGCTTAAATAGCTGAGAAACAATGGGATAATGCAGGAAAGTTAACAATTAACAGTCTCAGCTTAAATTTTATAACTGCAGGGAACTGGAAACACAGCTGCCTCTCTCTTCAGTAGAATCAGGTCTCCCGGTCGAGGGAAGAATTTTTTTTAACAACGTAGTCTGTGAAAAATAAGCAGCTCTGAGTTGAATGAGTACTATGCAGTTACAGTTTTAACCAGCCTGCTCATATTTAACTATCTCTGGTCGCTTTAAAGAGAGCAGCTGAGAGAGGGGTAACGAGGCTTTTGAAATGCTTTTTGCTTTACTTTTTTAAATGAGCGTACAGAACAAAAAAAGGGAGCTGAAGGCATCCGGCTGAAGAGAAGCAGCGAGGAAGATGGGTCTGCTAAGTGTGGATTTGCTGATCACGCTTCAGATCTTGCCGGTCTTCTTCTCCAATTGCCTCTTCCTTGCGCTGTATGACTCTGTGATCCTCCTGAAGCACATGGTGCTGTTTCTGAGCCGGTCTAAGTCCGGCCGCGGTGAGTGGCGGAGGATGCTGACCTCGGAGGGGCTGCGCTGCGTCTGGAACAGCTTCCTCCTGGACGCCTACAAGCAGGTGGGTCCGTGGGGATGGGGACTGGCGGGCCGCCGCGGGTGAAGCGGCCTCAACGGCCCTCTTAGCGGGGAAGGGAAGGGGAGGGAATGACTCTGTGCGGTGCAGACTGGCTCCTACTTGATGTTAAGTTTGGTGGGATAACCTGGAAGGAGCTCGACTTTGAAGTCTGGGCTAAGGGTTCAGGAGACTCGGGAGCTGCTGCCCCTCTGCTCTGCCAATAACTGTGCCGCCTTGCCCATGTCACTGAGTTTAGCCGTGCCTCAGTTTCCCCACCGGTGCAAATAGTAATTTTCATATTTATAAAGTATTTCAAGATCTTCGTATAAGAATAATTGTGAAATGCTCCGGATGTTTTTACAGCTGTTGTTTAATTGTTTGCCACGTGAGATCCTGAGAGACTATACAAAGATTGCATCTTCAGATACATAGAATTGTTTTAATTAGAGTAAAAGATAGGAATGAACCTTTGTCATTACACTGGTGTTTTCTATTACTCATATGTCAATTTTTATATTGGAGGAAGCATCCCAGTAGTAGTAAGGCTGGGCACAGAGTGAAACAGTGAGCCTTTTTTCTTCATGAAAGCAGTGACAGAGCAACATGTCAGAGATTAAAAATGAACTTAACTAGCTGAGGGATAGCTGCCTACTGATTTTAAGTTAATAAAGCCAATAGCAGTTATGCAACATGCACTTTTTTTTCTTACTTTTAAGTTTTGTACAAACTTTACACAGTGGTACTGCTCAGATCTCAGGAGGTAGTTATAGTTCCCTTTTATAGATTGAAAAGGTAGACCCAAAAAGATGAAATTTCTTGCACAGGCCACCCAGTTAGTAAGTAGAAGAACTGGATTCAGAGCTCTGTGGCTTTCAAAACAGTGCTCAGTCTGTTAATGTGTTGTCTCCTTTAGACTGTCTACCTTAACATACCCCATGTGATGTCCTGAGGTCATAGGGGTCCTATCTACACTGTGACTCTATATCTTCTGAAATACTTCTTTTGGTATCACTTTCCACTCAGTCCCCTTTCGCTCCCTTAAACTGGCTTTTGTATTTGCTCTTAACCTAAAGGTTAGAAGAGCTGGTGGTGTTGGTGTTTGCTGGCTTTATGATATAGAATACAAGCTGCTTAGCCTGAAACCCAAGCCACAAGAGCATTAATTTTCAGTGCAAGACAAATATAAATAAAATTAGCTTTTGCCAAATAGGTCAAGGTCTTACTGCCACCCTAGGAATTGGTCAGCTAGCCACCCAAATAAAGTAGTGCTGAATGAAACCCACTGTTTTCCTAGCCCTCCTAATTTCTAGTTTTAGTCTCTTCACAGACATAAAGTAAATTTTACAGTGGCCTTTTTAAATGGGCCAGTCAACACAATTGTTCCCATTTTACAGACAAGGCAAGGCACAATGGTTAACACACAGCTTGATCAAGGCTCCAGTGGCAGTTGGTAGCATGGCTCTGAAACAGCCAAGTTTCCAGTTCCCACATTTGCAACCTGTATGTGACTCAGGGTCTGCAGAAGGTGTGGAGCTATAAGGAGCCTTATATCCATGAGGTATTTTCACTCTCATTTAAATAACACAAAATTATTTCAAATAAAGATTTCCAATGCCTTTCTGTACTTTCTGAAGTCATACTTCATTTTTCCTTAACCAAGTTGATGTCAACTGTGGAAGCTACAGGGAGGATGACTGTGCTACTTTTGATGTTGGCAATCATAAAACCATGGTTCATGGTTAGAAAGGACCTCCAGGATTTTCAAGTCCAACCTTCCTCCCAGCATTTCCCTAACCACTAGACCGTAGCCTCAAGTGCCACATCCACTCATTTTTTGAACATCTCCAGGGATGATGACTCTACCACCTCCGTGGATGGTACCTTCCCGGGTCTAAACACTACACTCTCTCAGTGAAGAAATTCTTCCTAATATCTAATCAAAATCTTCCCTGGCACAGTTTGAGGCCATTTCCCCTCATCCTATCATCAGTGATTTGGAAGAAGAGACCAACACCAGCCCCGCCGCGACCTCCTTTTAGGTAGTTGTAGAGATGAAACTCAGACTTTGAACTCTGGTAATTAAAACCTCTCCCTTATCACTATTAATGACCTAGGTTGTTTAGGCCAAGTAGTCTTTACGGTCCCTAGAATGATTTCTGGGCCTCAGCAAACTCAACAGCAAAATGCATAGAAACATATCAGGATTTTATCACCTTGTTCCAAAAAGGGGGAAAAAAATCCATTCATGCTGGATATCCTTGACAAGAAACTAATTAACCAACAATTCATGGATATACTGTTTTTATTAATAGAATTATGGACCATACAGACAGAAGATTATTGGAAGCCCTTGATTGTCATGGAAAGGTAGATAGATAAGTGTAGATATCAAATTATAGAGGGGAACACAATAAACTGAGGGGCAGCATTAGGACAAGAAGAGCCATCAGCCCAAAATAGAGGAGAATCTTCTGCTTCTGTAAGGAAGAGAAAGGGGGGAAAAAAGTTTCAGATGGAAAGCTGTATTGGTAGAATTGAAAAAAATCTGAACTACACCCTGCTTTGTGGCATTGTTTAAAAAGTATGAGGGATAGTGTAACATATTAAAGACTGTCCCACAAAACATATTTTTCCTTAAATTATTTTATTCTAAGTCCTGAATAGGACTGCCCAGTTGTGATAGCTTAATCTTACACTATTAGTGGGGGTAGGAAATGAAAACTTTATGGAATCAGGGTACTAAAGAGTGTGGCAAAATGCAGTTCATGTCCTAACTGCTATTGCCTATTGCTTCAAGTTCCTAGCTGAAGCCAGGTATCAGCAAAGTACTAAAGCAGGTACTTAAGCTCATTCCATTGATGAGTGTTTATGAGATAATCACCACTTTTCACCTAGAACAGTAGAATTGCAGATGTCAGAGATAAACCCAAACTGTACTGCCAGTGAGCAGAAGACTGGATTAAAGCAGTAACAGTGTTTGGGTTTACTATGTTTTGTGTCACTTACACAGATCTCTGCCTGAGTACATTTCATAACATTTTCCACAGAAGTACATGATGTAAAATTTCTATTCACAGAAAAATTTACTGGAAGCCATTCCAGGAAAACTCTGTCCCTGAATCTACTCTGTGGGTAGATACTAGATTCTGGATTAAAGCAAATTTATTACAAGAAAGGAGCTCTGCCTTGAAAGCACACTTTCTGTCCCAGCATTAAAGTGGTTCTGTTTCAAGACTAATATGTGCAAGAGATGATCTTGGAATAGTTAAAAGTAGAGGGTATTTGACAATATCTATTCTGATGGACTTTCCCTTCTAGAAAACTTTGGAATATCCTTCCCAAATTTCAACTTTACTTTTGTTCTGCCTTTTTTTTTTTGTTATTAAGTATTATTGCACATGACTTTTTGGTTAGAGCAATTATTTCGTGGGCAAGATTACCTAGAAACCTGCTGAAGATTTTAACATGTGCAGTGAGGAAGCAATGCAGAGTTAGTTGTATTTGGTATAGAGCATATTCAGTATCCTTTTTTGTTGGAAGATTTCTGTATGACTTGTGTTTTCTCCACATTTTGCAGTCCCACTAGAATAAAAATCATCTTCAAAATTTTTTTCATATGTAAATTTTATCAATGGTGATTATATTTCTTTTTACTTCCTTAGCTCTGAGTTCAGTATCTGTCACACTTGATGTTGATAATGCCTGTGCTGGACCAGCTCTGTGATTTATAGAACATCCTCCTCATATTCTTTTCCAGGAGGCAAGTGCATCTTGCATTACAAAAAGGGAGTCTTTAGGACCAGATTACCTGTCATAACTGGGATAAATAGAGCTAGTAGTCAAGTTACATTAACTTAAAATAATTGGAAGAGTGCAACTATTTTTTTATTCAGAAGTTTTTTCTAACTTATTGTTGTCCTCTGTTTATTCACAGAAATGAGTGGATTGACTCCTGAAGAGCAAATCATGTATGTATGTGTGTGTACGTATTTACACTTTCTTATGTGTTTGTATGTATACATACAAAAATACACATACAGGCATAAATACTCTGCTCTTTCACGAGTCACTTGTCTCTCATTTCTCTGTATATGTATAGATATGACTGCAACCACATCTACTGATAATCAAGAGGAGGGGGAAAAAAAAGATATTTTTATGAGGCTGTTAGTGTGCCTTCTGCATAATTTATATAGGCATGTATACTGGATGTGCTACATGTTACAGAAATCCAGAGAAAAAGCTAGAGAAATTTTGAAAAAAAAACAAAAACAAAACAAAACCATTCTGTTTACTGTTAAAAGTGCTTTTTACCTGGTAAGTTCCATGCTTTATTTAGTACTGGGATGAATATACTTTCTAAGAGTCCAAAGGTGGGAAATTGTTATCTTTAAAATGCTTTTAAAATGGGTGCAAAATAGGTTGTGCCTGTTAGTATTGCCCAGTGGTGAAGTTTTGTGCTGGGAGCTCTTCCAGTACCAGATATAAGCTTTGTGTTTCAGCAGTGCAGAGCTACTTACTCTTCCTGGTCTCCAGTAGAGAACTGTAAGGTTATCCTAAAGGAAACCCTCCTCCTCCTTCACCTCAGTGCAGGGTAAGGTAGGTAGTTGGGGGGAAGACCTTAACGGCATCTCTCTGAATCAGCCAAATGCTCAGGAATGCTGTGGTGCCCCTCTGGTGGTGATATGCACATGAGCATATATGCACACAGGGGTAAATGTTTGTTACACCCCTCAGAAGTATGCCAGTATCTCAAGTGGTGGATGGTGATGGGTGTGCATATGTGCTTGTACAGCTTTTTACTGCCCTTAGAATGGGCCACCAGCAAGCTCTGGCATGACAGGCCCGGCACAGAGGGAGTGGTTGGCACAGGATCCCAGCTTCACACCGTAGGCCCAGCTCTGGATGTAGCCTCAAGCTGACTGTTTCAATAAACACTCAGTGGGATTTTCCTGAGATTTCACGGAGGCAGCATGATATTACTTTTGTCTACTTCTGCCTGC